TTTTTTTTTTTAAATTTTGAGATACAGCCGAACTTAGGCTCCTCACATGTCGGCCTCCCAGGGTGCTGGGATCTCTGGCGTGCTGTGTCCGAGCTCTCTCGTCTCCACATAGGATCAGCGATCTTCAGGACGACCTGCCAAGGGGGCCTAGCACCTTAATAGGCTGTCGCCCTTTCTCCCCTCGCAGGTCTTCTAACTACAGTATTTTTCTGTCGGGAAGGAAGGGCCCATCTTCACTTTTCCACTTAGGACAAGCGTTTGGCCGCGCAACGTATACTTTCGTGGGATTCTGGAATTCCCATCGACGCTCAAAGAGCAGAAAGAAGTCCGCTACCTAACTAGTGAGGGTCACCGCCTTCCCGCAAGCACAAAGACTACAACTCCTATGGTGCATTCACATGCGCGGAAGCGTCTCTCCTCGAGGCTGATTGGAGGCAGCGAAGCGATACATCATGGGACTGTGCGCCTGTGCCCGGTGGCGTCGCCGGTTCCTGGATCCACGTCCGGGAGGGGGAGGTGGCGGGGAGAGTTGCACGTCAGCGAAGCTGGCCAATCCCGATGTGCGCAGACGCAGTAGTTCAGGCAGCACCGGAAGCTCAGGGGGATGGAGCGGTGGTGACGCGATTTTGTCCGCGTTGGAGGGGTCGGGCCTCTGCTGGAGTCGCCTGGTCTGCTGCGTGACGTGGCACACCCAGATCCTTAAAGTCGGAGCCGGGAGCTACCGCGCCAGTTGCTAAACAGGTCTCCGCCCCGCTAGTTTTAGTGTGCGTTTCCTTGGACAGCGTCGGCCAGCGAGCCGTCTTGACTAGCCTGTTTCCCGTCAGCTCTCTTCCCCTCCGCTGTTTGTCGCTGTGTCGGGAGCGTAAAAGGCGAAGGCCCGGGGACAGGCCAGAACCCTGGCCAGAACCCTTCTTGTGCCCCTCTCAAGTGCCACTGCCACCATGGGCCTCACCATCTCCTCGCTCTTCTCCCGCCTCTTCGGCAAGAAGCAAATGCGTATTTTGATGGGTGAGTGAGGGGCCGCGAGTGGAGGCCGGGCCGGGAGGGGCGGGGGTGTGGAGTCTGCGCGTGGGACCGCCTCGAGGCCTGTTTCTCCTCCGACGGGCGGAGGTCGGGAAGAGTCCGTGAAGGGATCCCCGGGGCGTAGGGCGAGCGGTCGCCTGAGATCTGTCACCCGAAGAGGCCCATTCAGAACCTCAGGCAAGGTTTCGTCTTCCCGAGCTTGTCTTGCTTTCTTGATGTAATCGAAAGTTGGATCAGATAAGGGTGTGGACGTGGGGAAAACGAACTCTTGGAAGCGGACAGCGGTGAGTCTCATTCTCGGGCTGCGATCTTCAGCCTCGCTGCTCTGGGTGTGAGCGTCTGGAGGGAGACAGAGCGACTTCAGCCTTTCTCCTCCCCCTCTCCCCTTCGTGCACGCACTCTGCACACAACACTGGTATGTGAGCCAGCTGCCGCCAGAGGCCAGAGCTGCCCGGTTTGCGAGCTAAGTTTTTTTGTCTCGTTAATGGTACTATGAACGTTTGTGAACAAGATTTTGTGTGGGCATGTTTTTAGTATTGTTGGGTAAATGCCTCGGGAAAATACTGGTGGATAGTATGGTAACTGTGTTTAACGTTTTCAGAAGCTGATAAACTGCTTTCCAAAGTCGCAGTACCATTTTACATTCTCACTACCTAAGTATGCGTGTTCTGATTTCTCCCTAAGAAGGAGATTTTTGAATACCTGTTCACCTGTGATTCCTGGGACAATTGTGAATTTCAGATTTATAGTCTGAAAAATGGGAGTTTAATGTGAGGGGAAGAATTTCAAAACTGTATGGAATCACCTAGTATTGTGCGTGGAACACAGTACGCACTCAGTTTTGTTATTTTAAAATTATGAAGGTGTATTTTAAACTTTTAGATTATTTCAAAAATGAAGATATGAAGAAAAATGTATTACCCATCTGAAACTTTTTCTTTTTTGCACTCATTTTTTTCTCCCTCGAAGTTGAGGTAATTGGACCCAGCTTTTCTTCAGTTTAAAAGTGTGTCTCACTGGCATAATTGGGCAGACATAGTTTTTAATGATTGGCAAAGATCAATGAAATAGTTTTACTTGCTATATTCATACTTTGGTCAAAGTGCAGGCCCGCATAAGGACAAGTAATGATTCAGTATACCTTTTAATACAGTGACGTTTATGGTGGGGGGAGGGGAGGGAGAACATTGCTGCACTGGACAGATGAGCCTTATTTTGGCTGGTTGAGATTGGTTATAATTTCTGTGGAAAATCTCATTGCTGAATATTTCAGCATTAAGGCAATACCTACTTAAATAACTAGAGGGGAACAAAATTGTGAGACTAACATTTCTAAGTAAGAAACCATACAGTACATATTTATTAGGGTAAAGTAAACTAGAGAGGTAGAGGACACTATGAAGTTTGCTGGAAGAGATGTGGGTGTGGCTCAGTGGTAGAGAACACTCACCTAGCTTGCAGGCTCTGGGTTTGACCGCTAGCAGTGGAGCGGGAGATGGAGGCACACAAGCAAATATAAAGCTTATTAAAAGTAACAGACAGGGTGAGGATTTAGCTCACTGGCACCGTGCCTGCCTCACAAGCACAAGGTCCTGAGTTCGATTCCCAGTACCCCCCCCCCAAAAAA